GCCATTGAGATTTCGCTGCCGCCTCAGGGTTGCCGAGGAGGCTGGCGGGCTCCGTGGGGCCGCCTCTCCGCCCGGGTCTCCAGCCCGCCTCCCCCCAGTGCCGCCCGACACCTTCTGGGGCTTCGAACGCGGCTGGCCCATGGCAGGCTGGAGCTCAGGAAGGGCGAGGTTCTCCCGGGAGGCATTCCTCTGCCTGGGATGGTTAAAGAGGAGGTTCACGGTGTCCTGCAGCACCTCCCTGCTCTCTGCCAGGGTGCCCTGGTTGCCTTGGTTCCTCAGCGTCCTGTACAGGGTGGGGGTGAGGTGAAAGGGGGCCTGAAGGCAGGGGTCCCAGCCTGCTTCCAGCATTGCCTCCTCGCCCGCGTCCTTATGGGGCTGCCCGACGTCGCAAGGCTCCCCCGCCTGAGCCCTGAGCACAGGCACGAGGTGAATGTCCGCCTTCTGGATGTGTTTCTGGGGCCTCTTGGGCTGGTGGCGGTAGGTGGACTCCGCCTCCCGACAGTTGTAGGCCCTGTTGTCCTTCTTCTCCGTCCTGCAGATGGACACGAACAGAGCCAGGATCAGCCCAAAGATGCCCAGCACCACAGCCAGGCAGATCATCGTCAGCACCGATGTGCTCAGGGCCCCGGGCTCACGGGCCGAGTCCCTCAGGTGGTCCACGCTGGTGACAAACGTGACCCTCAGCAGGGCTCGGGTCTGCAGGCGGGGGCTGCCCCGGTCTTCCACCACTATCTCCAGCTCCCACTCACTCCCAACGAGGCTGCTGGCATTGGTGACGTTGATGCACAGCTGCCCCAGGTGTGGGCTGAGGACGAAGAGGCGGGCTTCATTCCCGTGACCAATGCTGTAGAGGAGCTCGCTGTTTGCCCCCGAGTCCGCGTCTCTTGCTACAATGGTCACCAAAAGGAACGGCCGGGAGCTGTGAGTGGCCAGCGGAGGCACATGGGCACTTGCTGGACCCAAGCCGCTGGGAGTCTCGACGGGCACCAGAAGGTGGCCGGTGGAGGCGTTCACGAGCACGGAGAGGCTGGCCTTCCCGTCACTCAGCACGGGCTGGACCACCTCAGGGGCGTTATCGTTGGCATCCAGGAGACTGACCCACACGGAGACACTGGATGCAAGCGGGGGATCCCCCCTGTCCTCTGCAATCACCTGGAACCCAAAGCCAGCCATCTCCTCATAGTCCAGTGACCTCTGAGCAGTGACCTCTCCCGTTTCTGAGTCAATAGCTACTAAGTAAGAGGTTGGGGAGTCCTGGATGCGGTATGTGATTCTTCCATTAATGCCCAAGTCTGCATCGTGAGCCCTGATGGTGATGAGGTGGAGAGAGGGTAGGTTGTTCTCCCGAGTGGAGACCTCATACCTGCTTTTCTCAAACACGGGGGCATTGTCGTTGGCATCGCTGATCTGAATGCTGAGCTGCTTTGTGGCTGATAAGGGCTGGAGGCCTTGGTCTTGGGCTAACACGGTGAGGGTGTATGCGGGCCACTGCTCTCTGTCCAGTGTGGCGTTGGTCAGCAACATGTATGTGTTGCTGTTAGTCCTTTTTAGCCTGAAGTGGTCCAGCTCCTGACTCAGCCAACAGTGGACCAGACCATTGTTTCCTGAGTCCAAGTCGTCTGCCATGACAAGAGCGATAAAACTGTCCTTGGAAAGCGCTTCTGACACCAGTGATGGCTGGGAGGCCCACGTGACGTGGATGCTTGGGGCGTTGTCGTTGACGTCCAGAACCTTGATGAGAACTTTGCAGTGGGCCGGGATGGGGTTGGGACCCAGGTCCCTTGCCTGGACATCCACCTCATAGGCAGGAGTATTCTCGTAGTCTAGGGGTCCACGCAGGATGATCTGGCCTGTCTTGGCATCAATGCTGAAGGTGTCCAGCACCTCCCGGGGCACGTGCTTACCGAGGAAGAACTCTACCTCCCCGTTGGGGCCTTGGTCAGGGTCTGTGGCGGTCAGGTTTATGAGGAGAGTACCAGGGGCAGCGTCTTCTTGGATTTCTAGTGCCAGCGAGCTCTCAGCAAACACAGGGCTATTGTCATTGGAGTCCAGGACATTGACCTTGACCAAGCTGGTGCCTGACTTGGGGGGATTCCCATTGTCATGGGCGGTTAGCACCAGATCAAAAAATGAGTGGATTTCCCGGTCCAGCTCCTTCATCACCACGAGTTCTGCGTGCTTGGTCTCATCTGGCCCAATGATGACATCCAAGGCAAAGTGCTCACTGGGAGACAAGGTGTAGGAGTGCAGGCTGTTGGGGCCCGTGTCTGGGTCGAGGGCTCTGTCCAGTGGGATCCGGGTGCGCAGGGAGGCACTCTCAGAGATTTCCAGCTCCTGCTTGCCTTTGGGAAATTGCGGCGGATGGTCGTTGATGTCCAGCACCTGAATCTCCACGTGGATCAGAGCCAAATCCCCAGTGGCAAGCACGTCAAAGGAAACCAGGCAGGGATCCCACTGTCGGCATAGCTGCTCTCGATCCAGCCGCCTGCCCGTGCTGAGCAGGCCATCCTCAGAGCCCACCTGAATGGGGAGCACCTTGGACACCTGCAGCACCTGGAAGGCAGTGCCTGGGTGTCCACGCCTGTCCTCCCAGCCCAGTTCCCGGGACAGCTTCCCGATCACCGTGCCAAATGGCACTTCCTCTGACACTTGGTATTTCACCGTGAGAGTGGTCATCTTCTGACAATTCCCCGAGTGGAACAAGTAGCCACCTGACCCCAAAAGCCCCAGCAGAAGCCGCAGAAGTTGCATCATGCTTACCGCCAGAGTGGGCTCGCTTCAGAAAGTGCTAGAGTTCTTGAAAGGCTGGACAAGTCCTCCGGGGTCCCCTGGATGGCCTGAGCAGCCCCGTCCTCCTGCCCCCAGACCTGCAGGCACAACCTCGTTCCATAGTTAGATGGTGATGGAAGGAGCAGGGCTCCCAGGCAAGGCCATCTTCATCAGATGCGAGCTGAGAGGTCTAAGCACTGATCAGGTAGAGTTGCCGGGGGAGACCCGCAGGGCTACCAGTCGGTCCACTTCAGCAAAGGCTGGACAACCGCCGGTCCATGAGGCATTTGACCCAGGAGAGCAGGATGTGGGGCTCTGACTTCCAAACAGTTTGCATGGCTGGGGAAACAGAGAAGCAGCTTTTTCCTATGGAAACCACACCTACAGGAAAAGGGAGGGCTGTGAGTTTCAATGCCAATTAGAGAAAGAGCATTTCCTGTGAAGCTGAGGGGCCTGCCACTGAGGAGGATGAGGCCAGGCCCTAGGGACAGGCCAGATGGGAAGGTGCTGTCCACGCAGCAAGACGGCTGCTGAAGGAAAGGGAACCTTCCTATCGCCGAGTGAGTAGAAAACTTGAGCCCCTGCCTACCCACACAAGTCATTTCCCTATCTCTCATCCCTTCTGCATCTCTGCTCCTGTCTCTTCCCCACACTTGTCTACCTCTCAGTCCCGACTCTGCCCTGACCACCCATGTTGATGTCACTGGAAAGTAGCTGTGACAAACAGAGCCACCATCGGTGCTAAACTGCCTGGGTTCTAATCCTGACTTGGCAACTTACCAGCCGGGTCATCTGGGACAAGGCACTTAGCATCTCTAGGCCGCCATGACCTCCTCTTTAGAGTGGAGATAGGAGTAAGAGTGGTAGCCCTCTCCATAGGAAGCTGTGAGGGTGAAATGAAGCGATGCGTGGAGGGCCTTGACCTGGGCCTGGCCCCAAGTCACAGGCAGTGACATCCGTGCGAGGTGAGTGTTGCAGTCTGCACAATTTATCCCACCCTGTGGCTGCCCCTGGCTCTTGCGCTGGCCCCGGGGCAGTCCTTGCCCACACTGACCTGGGAGAGTGCCTGTGGCCTTGACTCCAGGAGCCACAAGGACCTGTCTGACTCCACTGTGTGGCTCCCTTCCCCTTCCCTTCCAGCCCCCCAGCCTTGAGATCTATTGTTTTCTGCCTGTGGTACAGCCAGAGTCCCCGTCTGGGGAACCCCCAGCCTCCCACTCTTCTCAGAGACTTTGGTACATTTCCCTCTCCCACACCTTTCCCTCCCTTTCGTCTGTGTCTTTCCCCACTTCCTGCAATTCTTCTCCCTCCAATTCTGTTTGTGATAGGGTCCCGCATACCACAGCCCCCTTGCTGCTCCCAACCCTGGACATTTTAAGGCATGCTTTCCCTCCCATGCAACCTTTCACAGGGGCGAGGCCCATGAAGGAGGGAGACCAGTGTGCAGGTTGTCTGGGTGGCCTTTGAGGTGGCCTTATTGTTTCTCATTTCCCTCCTCAACTTGCGGTCCCCAACACTCTCCCAGCCTTATGCTCCACTTTGAGGTTGATTTCAGAGCTTTGCAAAGCAGCTGAGGTGGGGAGTTAAGAACAGCCTTAGATGGGTGTTTGCTGCTGAGACCTTGGGGCCAAAGGTGTCCTGTTTGGACCCGAGTGACACCATCAGGGCTTGTTGGTATGGAGGCCTGTGGCCATGGACTGGGTGGCTGAGGGACAGCCATCTGTGTTCCCTCCTCTTCCTTCTATCTTTTCTTTCCTCTCACCCTGTAATCCAATCCTGAAAGTTTCCCAGCGGTCTTCTGAAGCCCATTAAACCATAGCAAGAGGCCTGAATCCACAGTGTCATCTCCTACAGCATGGCTGTGGGAACAGACAGACCACTCACAAGTTCTGAGACATTGCACAAGTGACTTAACCTCTCTGAGCCTCAGTTTCCTTCTCTGAGAGTGTGACTGTCCCCAGTTCATGTGTTTATGGGACGGGCTCAGCACAGGGCCTGGCATAGAGAAAGTACTCCACATGTGGACTCTGGTTTTATCTTTCATTACCTTCCAGGTACCAGGCCTCATATGCACACGGTGACGATGGCTTTGTGTTTGTCCCTTTTCTTTTATCTTTGCCTCCTTGACCAGGAGCCTTGTTTCCAGGGCCGCCCTCAGCTCGGTGCGGGCAAGTGCTGCCCAAGCTTCGAGGAAGCCAAGCGGCCCTTCGAGCCCAGCGCTCAACAGGCGCTTAGCCTGCATGATGGCCTCACTGTGCAACTCTCATTCACCCCCTTATGTGCCAGGCAGTGAACAAGACAAGGGCCTAAGTCCAAGGCAGGGACAATGAAAGAAGACAGCCCAGTGGAGTGGCTCTGGAGACAGACCTGGGGGGGTCAAGGAGGCTCCTCCATGAGGGTGTTTGGCTGAGTCCCGATGAACACAGAGGATGAGGCTACACAGACCAGATGGGGGCAGCGAAATGGGCAAAGGGCCTGCAGGGGGTGGGGATAGTGGGCTGGCTCCTGGTGTGCTGCACGATGACCCAAGTGGTTGAGTGGGAAGGAAGCTGGGGTTGGGGACATTAGCAGGGGCCTGGGTCCCATGCTGAGGATTTGGACCTTGTCCTGAAGGCTGTGGAGAGCTTATGAAGGGTTCAAAGCAGGATCATAAGAGCAGCAACTACCTGCCAGGCCTTGTCTTGAGCTTGTCTTGTCTATATTCTCTCAGGCCACCCTCACAACCATGCCATCAGGTTGAAGACACTGAGCACAGGGCGTTAGGTAGCCTGTCCAAGATCACCCAGATTTGCCCTCCAGAAAGCCCTTTTGTCCGCATCCTAGAAAATGGACTGGAAGGGAACACAGAGGAGGGAGGGAGGCTAGCTGAGTGATGCAGGGAAGATCTGATGCAAAAAACTTCAGTGGTAAGAATGTCTCCAGAATGCCATCTGGTGGCCAAAGGCAGAGGAAAAGGCATAGAGGTACGGCCAAGGGACAACCACCAAGACAGGAGGTGGGCCCCTAAGGTTCATAAATCTCCAAAGCTCCAGACCCACCTACACACAGATCATAATAGGATCTCTTCATGGAAAATCTGATGTGGACCAATGTCACGAAGGGATTACGGAATTCATGACTTGACCTGTGTTCACATTTGTATTCTTGAAAGGACATTGTGATACATCTATATCTATATCAATATCTATATATCGTTGTCTATGTCTATGTCTGTATCTACCAGGGGTGCCAAAAGTGCATGCACATTTTAAGGGATGTTATCTATGTATTATTTTTAGTTTACCATAGTCAGAAGTGTCTGGACGCTAATGGTAACTACTTTGAGCACCTCTTGTAACTGCAGAAGTCAAACATGACTTGTATGCATCATTTGTTATTGCTATATATTGAGTATTACAATTTTAGTACAGTTTCTTTCTTTCTTTCTTTCTTTCTTTCTTTCTCTCTTTCTCTCTTTCTCTCTTTCTCTCTTTCTCTCTTTCTCTCTTTCTCTCTTTCTCTCTTTCTCTCTTTCTCTCTTTCTCTCTTTCTCTCTTTCTCTCTTTCTCTCTTTCTCTCTTTCTCTCTTTCTCTCTTTCTCTCTTTCTCTCTTTCTCTCTTTCTTTCTTTCGTTGGAATCTCACTCTGTCACCCAGACTGGAGTACCGTGGCCGCTCCCGGCCACCACAGCCTCCACCTGCTGGGCTCCGGCCATCCTTCGGCCTCAGCCTTTCAAATAGCTGGAACTACAGGCGCACGCTACCACGCCTGGCTAATTTTTGATTTATTGTAGAGATGAGATCTCACCAAGTTGCCTGGGCGGGTCTCAAACCCACGGGCTCAGGCAATCCACTCACCTCA